CTCTGAGCCAAGACCGTGTCTAGGGCTGCACGTAGCACTTGTACCCATACTCACTTTTCCATATCATCACTAGTTTCAAAATGTAGCCAATAGCCAATCATGGTCACTCGTCTTCACTACAATACAATTGTTTGCAACGACATTGTTATCATCTTTTACAAAATTAGCATTTTTTTCTTTTGCTCCAGCTCAGGTGTAGCATACAGACTCATACCTAAACCATCAACAGCAACATATGTATCCAAGGCACCCTCGAAATGTTACTCGACGTCTTTTTGAAGTATCCATCTAATTTTAAGGTTGCAAGAGCTGTGGCCTCTTTCTGATGAGATTTCATCGGCGGCTAAATTCGTCCCATAACTTGAAGAAGTGCGAACTCACGCAGAGCATAAGAGCAAATCCAAATCAATAAAAATCAATTGGTCTCGCACACGATAGAAATCGGCTACTTTGCTGCGAAATTGATCTCGAGTCGTCGATCGTGCTCAGTTTCACTAGCATTATCCATTTCACATCGCTGATGCCGTTGCCCAGGTGCAATTTCATGATAAAGTGTGTTGATCCACTTTCGCTTATCCTTTGCTGAAGAGGCAGCACAGAAAAATGTTTTGCCGTCCTTGGTTTCGAGCTCCATCGCATCTTAGTACGTGTGGGTAATAGTTTTACCATGCCAATCACCCACAATGTCTACATGGAAAAACCCAAGCGATTCGTTGTGGCGCTACTGTTACGGTTTTTACTTTCATCGTGAGTGACATAGAACGACAATTCAATCCGTACCAACACACAATAATTCTTCCGCATGGACGGAAATTTGTGTCCGCGTTTTATCAGATAAACATCCATCAGAATATTTGCATCTGAAGGATCTTCTGACTTGCTTGATACTATACTGCTTTTCGGCAAAATTTGTTGCGAGAACAGTACACAAAGACGTACACACAGGATCGATGACTAGAATGTGTCAACTTGTTTGAGTAACGCACCTTCACGCCCTTCAAACGACCGAAGTAGCGAG